ACCTCCTGCCTCCTTTGCATTGGCTCTCCCTCATGCCTGAGATGCTCTCTTTCCTCATCCTTGCCTCCTGGCTTCCCTGACTTCCTTCAAGACCAAGGTCATATTTCATCTTCTGCAGGAGCCCTTTATGATATAGATATATAGATATATATAGATATAGATATAGATATAGATAGATAGATATATATGGTGTGTGTGTATGTATATAAAAATATATACATATATACACACATTTAGGGTGCCCAAAAAGTCTTAGTTCAGTTTGAAGTCTTAATAGCTCAATAACCTTGAACTTGTGTTGTCTTCCCTCATGGGAATGGGAGTTCCTCTAGGGCAGAGATTTTATTTTTTGCCTTTCTTTGTATTCCCTACATCAACATAGTGCCTAGCACACAGTAAGCTCTTAACAAATGCTTGTTGATGGATTTGACTCTCCAACATCAGTTGTTATGGGTTCAATTGTCATATCTACTCAGATGACTCACATCTCTTTCTCTCTCTATCCATCCATTTATGGGTTCAATTATCATGTCTACTCAGATGACACACAGTCATCTATCTATATATTTCTATTCATCCATCTATCCATCAATCCATCCATTTACAGGTTCAATTATCATATCTTCTCAGATGATTCACACATCCATCCATCCATCCATCTCCATCCATCCATTTATGGGTTCAATTATCATGTCTTCTCAGATGACTCACACATCCATCTATCTATCTATCTCCAGCTGCAGTCCCTCTTCTGAGCACCAATCTCACACAACCAATTTCACATGGTGGAAATTTCCAATTTAATGGGGGAAGGGAAACAGAATAAGCATTTATATAGCACCTACTATATACCAGGCAATGGGCTAAAGTTTAGCCTTAGCCTTTTATTAAAGGGATTTATTCTGTGAAGTTTGGATTCAGTCAAATGGCCACATTTGAGGACCTAGAGAGCCACAAGTGGCCTTGAGGCTACAGGTTCCCCACCTCTGGCTAAGCACTTGGCAAATATTATCTCTTTCAACCTCATCATAACCCGGTAAAGGAGGTGCTATTATAACCCCCATTTTGCATATGAAGGAACTGAGATGGACAGAGGTTAAGTGATTTGCCCAGAGTCACACAGCTAGCACCTGAGGCAGGAATGGAACTCTGGACTTTCTGACTCCAGAACCAGCACTCTATCCCTTGCACCACCTAGCTGCCTCTGCAATGACTTGTGGGAATCTCAAAAAATCAACATATCCAAAACAAAACTATCTTTCTCACCTCAGACCCCAAATTCTTTCCTAATTTCTCTATTTCTATTGAGTTTGCCACCATACTTCTGCTTAGACAATCTAAATTACATAAAATTTAGAAGCTTTTGCATGAACAAAACCAATGCAACTAAGGAAAGAAGCTCTGAAAGGGCCTCAGTGTCCACATTTTAGATTCTTCATGCTTTCTTACCCCACATATCTAATCAGTCACCAAACCTGGTTGATTCAATCTTTTGTATCCATGTCCTTCTCTTCTGTCCCATGGCAACTACTTTACTTTGGGGCCTCATTATCTTTTGCAAGGACCATGCAGTAGCCTCCTATTTGGGCTCCCTGCCTCACCTCTACCCCCTCTCCAAATCGTCTACCACATAGCTGCTGAAGTGATATCCCTAAAGCACAGAACTAGCCATGTCACCCCCTAGTTCAAAAGGTTCCAGTGGTTTTCTTTTAGCTCTGGGATTAAATATAACTAATAGCAACTCCTTGCTAAACCCCTTCATAACCTGCCTCCAACCTATCTTTCTAATATTATCACAAGTGACTCTCTTCCTGAACTCTCTGGTCCAGCTAGATTGACTGTTTCTCATAAATAGCATTAGACAGAAAAGGCAGACCTCCTTGCCTTTGGACAGGCTGGCACCCCACCCCCCCCATCCCTAGAACGTATTCCTCCTACCTCTTAGAATCCTATTTTCTTCAAAGATCAGCTCAAACAACACCTCTAACATACAAAGTCTTTCTTGATCCCTTAAACAGCTAGTGCCTTCCCACCAAACAAATTACTTTGCATATATTTATATGTCCTCTTCCCCCATAAGATGTAAATAAACTGTTTGAAGGCAGAGACTATTTAATTTTTTGTCTTTATGTGTCCAATACTGAGAAAAGTGCCTAGCACATAGTAGATGCTTAATAAATGCTTGTCTGTTTGGTTGATTTAAAAAAATAGAAAATTTTACATCACTGGAAAAGATAAGACCCAGATACAACTGGACACAGGAACCTGGTGTTTGAGAACTCCAAGAATGCCAATGATTGGGGGAAAGAACTCCCTTACTCAACAAGAACTACTAGAAAAATTGAAAAGCAATTTGGCTGAAATTAAGTTTAGACCAGGGCCTCAAAGTACATCCCACAATGAGCTTCAAATAGATACATGATGTAAATATAAAAGGTCCTATCATAAGGGAATGGAAAGTACTTTTCAGAACTATGATTAGAATTCTTTACCAAGCGTGGGATAGAGGAGATCATAAAGATAGACAATTTAAATTACATACAACTTAAAAGCTTTTGCATGAACAAAATCAATGCAGCTAAGAAGCTCTCAATTGTTTAAAAAAAAATCTTAGTGTTAAATATCTCCTATAAAAGTCTGAGATCTAAAATATGCAGTGAATTGGCCCAGATTTATAAGACCAAAAGTCATTTCCCATTAGGTAAGGGATTAAAGGATATGAATAGTTTAGCCGCAAGGGAACTTCAAGATAATCTGGTTCCCTCCCCCCACTATTATCCCTCCCCCACTTCATTTATAGATGAGGAAAATAAGGCACAAAACATTTAAGTAGCTTGCACAGGGTCATACAGGTAGCAAGTAGCAGACCTGGGATTTGAACTCAGGTCCTCTAATTCTAAATTCGGTGCTCATTCTACTGTACCCCACTCTACCCAGATCCCAATCCATCCATGCTTACACATCTTGTGAAATTCTTATCCATATCCGCTCACATGGGAAACTGAGGCAATCATCGCCTAACGTGCTGATGGCCTACCTCAAGATCAGGGATTCTAAAGCTCGGGCCCATGAACTTATTTTTTAAAAAACAAATATTTTGACAATTGTAGTTCAACATAATTGGCTCCCTTTACAATCCTATGTGTTTTATTTTATGAATTTAAAAATATCATTCTGAGAAGGGGTCCATAGGCTTCACTAGACTGCCAAGGAGGTACAGGACACAGAATAATTTAAGAACCACTCATCTAAATCACTTAAAATTATACAGTATGTGGGTTGTCCATAAGTTATCCCCTCCTCTTGCTCCTTGACTGAGTTGGTTGTTTTTCTGATTGTGTGTTTCTCTGATGACACCCTATACACTACTTCTCTCATGTAATTCTGTTTGTAATATGTTCCAGCCTGCTCACACCCACCATGCACCTCTCCATGGACCCTGAGGGGATCCTCAGCATTAGGTTCTTGGGAGACAGTCACATCCCCGTGACTCATGGACACGCAGCATCCCAGGAAGAATATGTATGTTAAAAAGACAGGTCTTTTGTTTCTTGGAGAATCATGGCAGCCCATGCAACAAAGCTTCAGGTGATGAGATTTGGAAATAGAGGTTCGCTCCAAGACTGCACCTACCCTGGAACCACTAATCAACTCAATTTTTCCAGAAGTTCAACACATACTTGATGTCATATAACATTGATATAACATTGACTGAGACTTCATCTTGTTGTTGTTGTTTTGTTCAGTTGTTTTCAGTTGTGTCTGACTCTTCATGCCCCCATTTGGGGTTTTCTTGGTGGAGATGCTGGAATGGTTTGCCATTTCCTTCTCCAGCTCAGTTTACAGATGAGGAAACTAAAGCAAACAGGATCAAGTGACTTGCTTAGGGTCGCCCAGCTAGCAAGTGTCTGAGGCTGGATTTGAGCTCAGGAAGATGAGTCTTCCTGACTCCAGTCCCAGCACTCTATTCACCCATACAGCTGTGCAGATCTTATGTACATGACATCAAATACAATTTCCTACAAACAGAAAAAAAATTCAGTGTATCTCAATGATAACCTAAAATAAAGTTTGCTTTAAAAAAAAAAACAAACCAAAAGTAGAAAGTTACTAACAACCATATTAAAAAAAAAAAGCTCCAAATCACTGATAACAAGAGAAATGCAAATTAAAACAACTTTGAGGTTTCAACTCACATCCGTCAAAATGACAAAAATGACAAAAGGCAGAAATGATACAGGTCTGGAAGACTGTGGAGGCATAAATTGATTCAGTCCTTTTGGAAGATTATTTGGAATTATGCCATCAAAGCAATACATTATTCATATCATTGGACCCAGAGATCCCTCTACACAGGGCATAAAACCCCAACAAGGTCAATGGAATATAGTAAAAAGGAGTTGATAGTGAGGGTATATAGAAGTTGTAGGGACGATGGCCTTTTCCATTTAAAAGCAATAGTAGCAAATAAAAGTTCTACTTACTGTATAATAAAATATTCTTAGTAGCACTCTTTGTGGTTACAAAGCTAGAAACAAAATGGGTGCTTGCTCACTGACTAATGAATGGCTGAAAAATCTGTGGGATGTGCATGTAAAGAAATATTTCTGTCAGTTTTTGTTTTTCTTTGTTTTAAGACAGTTCATGTAAGGAAATGACTCTGATGTAAAAATAACCTAAAACAAATGGCATTAATTTTAAAAATGGTTAAAAAATGAGCCATAAAAAATAAAAATAAAGATAAAAAGGGCTGGGAAACAGACTGAAATCCCAAGCCTGAAGGCAACACTCAGACCATACAGAGATCATCACCTCATTTCCATCAGAACCACAGTCATGCATCTCTCTCTCCTCCCCCAGCTTTTTCAGGTCTGGACTGAGGCACAAAGGGTCAGCACCAGCAGGAAAGCATCTATGGCTTCTCTTGTAGAAGGGTAGATTTACAGCCAAGGCCAGAGGAGACTCCCCACCCTCACCCAAAGACATGAAAACAGCAAGGGGAATTTTGATGTCATAGCTTTATTGGATATGTGAACTGAGTCAGCGAGTCCAGACCCAACTGTAACGGATTGCTTCATGGTTGTCAGAGTCTCTAGTGTGCATTATCTCGTAAGATTACAACCAATGCAGAAAAAAATCATTAAGACAAGAGACGCTAAAACGTGCCCTAGTGTCCCAAGTGATCTAAGGCAGGGTCAGGTGGCACCCCGGCTTCACTCCACCCTGGGCTGGTTTGGCAACATGCCCAAGGAAACAAATTGGCATTAAAATAAAAGCCCCATCCCTCTCCTCTTTGACAGGAATGAGAAGTGTGGGGAGAGACCTTGGAAAGGTACACTTTCAAAGCCTCTCCCCGCTCCCATGCTACGTCCCCATTAAAGGGGCATAATGGTGATTACTGTAGACCGTGGTAAAGGAAGAGGAGCCTTCCCACATGGCCCCTTGCATTTGAGGCTGAAGCTAATGGCAGCTATCACACGAAAGCCACAACATGGAGCCGAGGGAGGGTTCAGGAGTGGAAGCAAAATGAGGCCAGTGGTGTTAGGCAAGCCCAGAGTCCTGTCTTCCAGGCACGAAGCAGGTAAACAAACTGCCTCCAGGTAGAGTTTATCTACTGCTAATGATACTGCTCCTTAACACTGTATGGAGTGAAGTGTGTGGTTGGGGACAGAGGAAAAGGAGATGACAGAGCACCAGGTTCATTCAGGGATTTGCCAACATGACTGCTCCATCTCCATGTTGCTCCCAAGTCTGATTTCTGCTGCCCAGCAAAATTCCGTTTGGGTGGGAACAGCAGAAACAGACCAACGGCTGCTGCCAGAATACCAGAAAAGGGAAAAAAAAGTCCACCCCAAGATCAGAGAGGAAAAAACAGACCTTTTGGTCCAAGTTCACGGAAGATGCTGGCAACACCTCCCAAACCTCGAGGGAAAAGGAAACACAATTAAATGTTGTCCTGTTGCTTTGCACAAGGGAAACCACCGCCCTATCCTGAGACGTTCCTATCTACTGGCCCTTAGTGTCTTTTTTTTAAAGTTTTATTTATTTTTAATACCCAAACCAAAATTTAAAAAACATTTTGCTTTTAAAAAAGAATCCTTAAAAAAAGAAAAAAGGATCTAAAACCTCCACAAAAACTCAGACATGTCTCAGTGGACAAGTTTCAGACTTTTCTTCTTATCCCACTCAACTTGTTGCAGGCACCATAGCAATGTTTTGGGAAACCAGCTCAGTCCTCATGACCCCCTCTTTTCACTCCTGACCCCTGGGTCAGACCTTTAGCAGCATGGAGGACTGAGCAGGGAAACCATCCAAGAGCAGGGTCACAGCTAGATCTTTTGGCTAGAAAATGGGGTTGGGGGAAAAAAATGCACTTCTAATATCATTAAAAAACAAAATAAAAAAACACTACCCCAAACACCCTATTATCTGCGCTGAGCTTTCAAGGGAATGTATAAGTTATTTGGGAAGAAAGGGGGCAGGCCAGAGGAGGAGGGAAAAAATAAATACCAATAACTAGATAATAGTCATCAACTCCCCTAATGTGAGCAGAGACCCCCTGGCCCTAACTCAGCTGCTTGGAGAGAAACATCACCAGACGAGGCCGTCCTGATCCTCCGACCCTGACTGTCCAAATGCTGCATGGTCCTCTGGTCTGCCCCAGGCAGAGCAGGACTAGCCTCTTCTCACTGCCTGTGCCCAATCTGACGGCAGTTTCCACTGGCTCCTGTTTCCTCTTCAGCTCTGTGATCCTGGAGCCTTGCTCCCCTCGACTGGTGCAGCAAGATCAGTCTGCCCTCCACTCTGCTGGGTTGGCTTGGCTCATCTCCGGCCTCAACACTCAAGGATTTCGTGGCTAGTCTGATGGGAGAGGATGGCGGTGGGGGGAGGTGAGTTTGGAAGCGGGCCTGGAATGGAATGGGCTCAGCACTGCCCACGCCAACAGCATTGGGAATCATCCCCCGGACTCCCCAGCCGGGGTTCAGGCCTGCTCCTTGTCCGCCCTCCACAGCCGCTCCTTCACCTCCAGAGGCAGGGTGTTAAACAGATCCTCCTCCACCACCAAGCCACTCCGCTTCAGCAGGGGGCACTCCCCAAGCTCCACAGGCAGGCATTCCAACCGATTGCCCCGAAGCTCAATCTGGGTCAGGTTGGTCAGCTCACCCACCCGGGATGGCAGTGACTGTAACACGTTATTACCCAGATGCAAGGTCCGAAGCTTCCGGCACTGGAAGAGTTCAGGTGGAAGTCCCTCAATCTGGAAAAGAAGGCAGGAGAAAAGAAATTTCAGTTCCAGGCCTCCATAAACCTTCAGAAACTCTGGACCTTCTAGACTCCCCAGGCCTAGAGCCCACCCGGCATCCCCCATCTGCCCATGATCTTTGGGTCACATTTTCCTCTTTAATTTCTTCCAGACCTTACTCTGTGCCACTTCCCCCCTGCAAGTGCTGTCAAGAAGAATGGTTATAATGTTTGATTATTATAGCAAATTATATTTGCTAATTGTCTTGTGTGTCTACTGATCAATTATATAATGAGTCTTCTGATTGTTTTTCTAGGATGACTGAAGCCCTTCTGGCCGATGGCAGTCTAGTCCAAGGATTTACCAAGATAGGTAAGGATACATTCCTGCTCTCCAACAAAAGTGACCCATGCTGCTGCCTTTATCAGGTTTGACCCCCAATTCACCCCTTCTGCTTTGGAATACAAAGAGCAGGATGGGAGGCTGCCAGCTCCTTTCTCCCAAAGGGAGTGGTAACCTTTCCTGCTGTTCCTGAGCAGGCTGTTCTGGAATGCACAAGGGCACTCCTGTCACCCCACAATGTTCTTGGGGAGACAAGGTAAAATAAGGGAAGAACTTAGTTTCCCTTTCTCCCCAAGATAAGACTACCTAGGCTAATAAGAACATCAGGTCAGCATCAGTTCATTCTCAGGGCCACAGTTCGGTGGGGCAATCCTTCTTGGGGGGGCCTTTTGCCCCTCACCTCAGCGGGCCTCTCAGGGATGATGCTCCCTCACTCTGTTCAGAGAACAAGGAGTCCTAGCAGTTCTCCATGAAGGTCAGCAAAAGCCCCAGCTTCCTTTAATAGCCACATCCGGCATCTATCGCCAGGGATTTCTCTAAACCTTTCATATGCCTATTTATATTTCTAGTCTGTACTTTTTTGTGGGGGACAGTAATGAATGAATTCTGGATTCAATACTTTGTGGTGTCAAATAGGGCTTGGTTCTAAAACTACCTCTTTTAAACTTCAGAGGAGGGGGAAAGGAGCCTTAGTTCTAACTTTCCAAGATTTGATAAAGAAAAAGACTATTAGCCTGGGAATCAGAAGACTTGAGCTTCAATTTTGGCTTTGTTTCCAACAAATCAGATGACTTTGGGTAAATTACTTTCTCTCCACAGGCCTCAGTTTTCTCATCTGCAAGATGAGGGGGATGGACTAGAAGATCTCCAAGCTCCCTCTCATTATTCTAAGGCCATGCTTCCCTTATTCCATGTCCCCACCCCTCTTTCCCATCCCCTTTAAAGACTGATCACATTCACTCAGCCTTTGTCTCTCCAGACTAAAGAGGCTTTTTTGAAAAATGAAAACACCTGCCCTGGTTTCCTATTCAGGTCCTTCTGCCAGTGACTAGAGATACTGGAGCCCCTCACTCAGAGCAGATGCTGTAGCTTCACCCCAACCAGATACTGACACAATTTAAAAGGATATCATGACAAAGTTTTGAATTACAATAGCCTGTTAAGAGTACAAACGTGGCTACTACAATATAGGCTCATGATTTCCCAAGACACAAAATCTTACAGTTTCAAGGTCAGGAAAACCAATCTCTCCCTGGAGGGAGGAAGACAGACAAACAGAAGGACAGCCTTACCAGCAAAAAGCTGGATGCGAAATATTAAATCTCTAGAGGTCTGGAATGTATCAAAGCCTTTGAACTCACCTCCAAAGGATACAGTGTTATGGTGGTGGTGGCTAAAGGGGTTTGTGTGGCCAGGGGTGGGGGGGTTCTAGTTCAGATCAAGTTTCCACCCTTTTCCTAGCAAAGTCCCATAGCTACAGGGCTGCCTCTGATGACAAGATGCGACCTATCTAGACCACAGGGATTCTCCAAGTAGGTAAAGGGCAGTATTTCCCATGACATTCAAAGCAGGCAGGTAGATGAATATATACCATAGTTGGAATTGACCTTAGGTTCCTTCTCAGAACCCTCCTGCCATCCCAGGAAGTTTTTTCAATCATTGTATGGCCCCTCTGCCTGCTATCTTCTCCCACCAGATAGGCTCTTCCTTCATCTGGTACTTCAATGGAAAAACAGGTCCAGATTTGGGGAGGGAGGAGAGACAGGGAGAAAGGGAGGAAAAAGAGGAATAAAGGGAGGGGGAGAGAGAGGAAGGGAGGGAGGGAGAGAGAGACAGAGACCTGCCTGAATGGGTGTCTGAAAAGAAACAAAGTCCTGCTGTGGGTCTGCGAGGAGAAACCTAGAGCAGAAATAAGGACCAAGGCTGTTTGAGGAAAGGCTATTAAAGTGGGAAAGCAGGCATGCTGTGTTTGCCAGCCCATTTAGTCGCACACAGCTGTTTCTACAGAATCTGGAGCCAGACTCCTGAAGTGCTTAAAGAGTTTTCCCTAACTGAGGGGGGATCCAATGCAGGCAACTGAGCTCTCCTACCTTCACTTCCTCTTGTGTGTGGTCTTCCCCCCATAGATTGTAAGCTCCTCGAGGGCAAGAAGTGTCTATTTTCGAATTTGTATCCCTAGCATTTAGCACAGAGCCTAGTATATAGTAAGCACTTAATAAATGTTTATTGACTAATATCCTTTTATTCACCTCTGACTTTCTTTCACTTTCCTCACAGCTGGTATTCCTAATGTGTGGTACAAGAGAAAACATCCTGGATTTGGCGTCAGAGGACCTGGATTCAAATCCCAGCTCTAACATTTATGACACTATCTGGACCTCAGTTTCCTAATCTCTAAAATTAAAGGGTTGGGGTAGATGTTCTTCAAAGTTTCTTCTATCTTACAATCTGTGATCTTCAAGACCCCCAATTCAACTCCCAGCCTCCCCTCTCTCTCAACAGTCTTCACCTCCAACTTTACAAAATAAACTGAGCCCATCCAACATGACTTGACTGTCGTGTGACCTTGGATGAATCACTCCATCTTCGCTGGGCTCCATTCCTCTTCTGTAAGTATGAGAGGGTTGGACTGCATCATTTCCAAGGGTCCTTCTACATCTTACATTCTCTAATCCTCTCAGCTAGAAGGTCACAGTCACCAAGATCAGCACCTGAACCATGGGCCATATTCATCAGGAAGTTTACTAAGTACTCTCAGGGAGAAGACAGATTCCAGACACCAAACTCAACCTCCCTGGGACTTGAGAAAAAGCAAAGTCAGTGAAATCACTTAGAAACAAATCTAAATTCTATTCTGGCAAGTGGTTCCCACAATGATGTCTATGTTATCTATGTCTATGTCAATGATATCTACTGCCAATGGCGGACTAGTCAGGTACCTCCCAAGTCAATGATATTTATTCAACCATTTCTTCCTCTTGGTTCAAATCTGGGAAAGACAATTAGATCAAAATAAAGAGACTAAAAACTTCAATAAATCTAATTTAATCCCATCTAATCCAAGCAGGTGATGGCTTCCTTTTTAAGCCTTATTTCACATTACTCCCTTTCATATGCTTGATGTTCAATCAAGTAGGACTACTATCTATTTCAAAACTGCCTCCAGACCCTGAAGCAAGTAGTCTCCCATGCCTAGAATGCACACTTTTCCTTCATATCATCTTTTATTGCTTGGCTCAGATGCCACCTTACCTAGCCTCAACTGTTAGTACTCCCACTTTTCTCAAACCTTCCTTTGGCACTCTTATCTAGATCTCTTCTTTGTCCTCATCACTTCCTACTTTATCTTTGCATGCTATTTACCACCAAATATCAACCAATCAACCAACAAATATTTGTTGAGCATTTACCGTGTATGAAATATTATGCTAGGACTTGGCATACAGATAAAACAATGAAACAATTTCTACTCTCAAGAAGCTGATGTTCTATTGGGAAAGACAAGACATACATAGTTAAATATATACAGAACATATAAAGAATACATGCAAGGTGGTTAGGGAGGGTAGTCACTGGCAGTTGGGGGAATTAGGAAGCACCACCTATGTAGAAGGTGGTGCTTGAGCTATACATGCGAAAGGAAGAGAGAGAGTGCAGGAATAGAGCCAATTGGTACAAAAGCAAGGACTGTTGTTTTTCATCTCTGTCCCAACAATGTTTAGCAAAGTGCCTTAAGAAATGTTTGTTGGGGGGGACAGCTAGGTGGCCCAGTGGATAGAGCACCAGCCCTGGAGTCAGGAAGACCTGAGTTCAAATCTGGCCTCAGACACATAACACTTACTAGTTGTGTGACCCTGGGCAAGTCACTTAACCCCACTGCCTAGACAAAAAAAGAAAGAAAGAAAGAAAGAAATGGTTGTTGGGTTGACCTGGTTTAACTCAACCAAGTCTCATTCTCACACTAGGGATATGTGGTCCCAAAAGACTATCACTAGTGCAGGTGTGAGGTGATGAGGTGTGAGATGATATCATATTGGGGATATGTCCCTCAGATGCTCAGGAAAGACCCTACCCCTAAGAGGCAACAGCTTTATCCAGATGGAAGAAAGAACTCTAAAAGGGAAGGAGCAAGGAATTGTGTGTGACACACATAGTTGAGTATCTGAGCATATTCTGCTGATCTGCTTCAAGCTAGAATTCTGGGTACTAAAGAACTAGGAAGGCAGGAGATCAGGTTAACAACAACAAAACAGCCCATTTTCATGTAAATGTCTCTAGTACTCAGAACAGGCTGGGCAGAAACATAAGAAATGATTAAGCAGACTGTTAACTAGGGCTTTCAAATTTCCAAGACGGTCTCTGGAAACACATATGCCAAATTCAACATCCTCCTCCCTTAGTCATCTGTGGGAGACCTTTTTTCTCCTGAATGATCCTAAGACTGCCAAAAGCCCAAACAAAAGAAGGACAAGCTGGAGAACCAATTCCGCAGGAAGAGAGCTGGCAGGCAGCACAGCACCTCTGGGATGGATAAGAGAGCTCTTGGGAGCCTGAACACAGCCCCTACACCAAAGATACTACCCTTTCCATCACAAAGTCCTTCTCACAGGCTTAAGGCTGTGTCTGCCCACTGCTCCTATATAATGGAGGCGAGGACAGGGAAACAAGGGGTCTGGAAACTGGACTGAATTCCCTTGAGAGGTAACCCAGTGTAATAGATGACAGGACTGTAGATTTAGAGCTAAAAGTGCCCTGAGAAGACATCTAGTCAAAACTCTCTCTTTTTACAGGTGAGGAGAACAGAGTTCAAAGAAAGTGACTTGCCCAAAATCATAGAGATGCTAAGTACAGGATTTGAACTCAGGTTCTCTGACTTCAGGTGCTGCCCCTTTTTCCATGGCATCATGCTGAGTCTCAGACCTGGCTCTGCTACCACTTCACTGTATGATTTAAACAAGTCCCTTTATTTACCTGTTTCTCAATGCTCCACATATGTGAAATGAGGGAATTGGACCAGGTGACCTCAAAATCCCTTCCAGCTCTAACGTTATAATTCTCTGCTCTCCCCACCTTCCTTACCTCCTTAACTCATGCTACCTCCAACCCAAGATTCTAAATCATTCCACTGAGGAAAGGTTAAAGAATGTAATAACTAGCCTGAAGGGAAGACGGTATTATTGTCCCAAATACTTATGGAATTATTCTCAAGAGGGCACTGAGCCTCTGCTCTCTGTCTCCAAGGAAAGGAAGCAGGTTTAGGATGCAGCAGGAAAGAGGGACTCAGTGAGATGCTTCTACACTTCACTGCTGTTGAAGTCTCCTACTGAAAGGACCTGTGACTTTTGTTAGTCTAGGAGAACTTGCAGGGATGAAAAATTCATCCCTGTACACATCCAACCCATGATGGGCTTCTCCAAACTTAGCTAGCCTGGTCCTAGGACAATAGACACACACAGCTTGTCACTAAACCCAGATTCAAAGTCTTTCCAGCTTGGCAGGAGAACCAGACCTCATTTTTTCACTGTCTTGGCCTTTAAGAATCCAAGGTTACTTTCATCTTTATGATGAAACACCACTGAAAGACTTAAATGGAAGAAGGTTAAGATAGAAGGGGAAAACTTCCTGTTAAGTGATTAAATTCAGGAAGAGGAAGGTTGGCAATCTCTAGCCTAAGAGATCTTAGAGAATGTACTTGGTTCTTGACCAATTTAGGCATGGTCCTATAGGCCAGACCTACAATATGTAATCTCTTTAGGTTCCATGTAGCTCTAATTCTATAAGAACTAAATACTGGATGCCAGCAAGTTACCTGGCATAGAACATGGGCCAGTCCTCTGTTTCTTGTTCTTTCAGCACCAGAAAGGTCCAAAGAGGGTTATAAACCCTTTATAATCCATACATTTAACCCAATCAAAATGCTCTACAAATACTCCACGAGAAGGCAAACTTCAATATGTATGATTCTCCTAGGGAGTAGGAGGTACACAGAACAATTGTGATGTTGTTTAAGAAACTCAAACCACAAAACCACCAGAAGATCTTTCTGTAGGTCCCACCCCATCTAAGCAAGATGTCCTTAGCCCAGGCACACCCAGGAGTGTTATTTGTAATAAAATTACAAATTCTTCCTAATTCAGGGGGTGTCCTAAGCACAGACCCCAAACTGTCACAAACTCTCTAAGGGTAAGACCACCAAGCCAAAGAGGCTGACCCTGAATAATCCTTATGAGAAGGCTCAGAATGTGCTATGAGTTGCATACTTTTACTCCAAGGAAGGTAAATGAGAGACAGAAAGGTCCAAGTCCTTACTAAGCTAAGTACCTGGACACCTTTTTAATTCTCACAGCATTATACACTGCTAAGGTGGGAGTAGAAAGGGTCTTTAAAAATCCATCTTAATATCTCTAATTGAAAACACTGGCTGATTACAGTCTGAAGACTGGTTTCCTTTTAGCAGTTAATATCCTTCCTCAATGAGTCCTTTTCCTCCTAACAGATGAGTGGGTTGGGATGGTTCTTAGCCTTATTCTGTGTCATGGACCCTTGGCAATCTGGTGAAGCCTATGGAGCCTTTCTCAGAAGAACCCTTTTACTAAAGGAAATGCTCAATTTCAGAGGGAGGTGAAAATAAAGATGTAATTTTTTTCCCTATGAAAGTTCATGGGCTTGTTGAAAAGCCCTTGAGGGTCCATAGATCCCAGATGAAGGACCTCTATGACAGATAACTAAACCTGAAGAAGTAGTAAATTTGCCCAGACTCTCAATCAAGCCAACAATTTATTGTTGAGGTAACCAGTTACACAACTCTTAATTCTCTATGTTTCATCTATGCTTTTTGAGAAATGTAATTCCTAGGAAAAGGCAAAGAAACAATCACAGACATGTCATTTTTTTTTTTTTTTGGTATGAATTAAGCTCCCTATTCCTTTTGGTTAATCTAAATCCCTCTGTTCTCTCTGCCAAGATTCTTTTTTTTTTTTTGCTTAGGCAACTGGGGTTAAGTGACTTGCCCAGGGTCACACAGCTAGTAATTGTCAAGTGTCTGAGGCCAGATTTGAACTCAGGTCCTCCTGACTCCAAGGTGGGAGCTCTATCCACTGTGCTACCCAGCTGTCCCTTCTGCCAAGATTCTTTAAAAAAAAAAAAAAAAAGGTCACTTTCAAAATCCTGATTAACCCATCTCACTGACCTTACATTAACTGTATAGGCTCCTCTGCACTGGGCCCACTCTGTACTAGAGTGACGTTTAAAATGTCTTACTAAAACTTTTCATTAGTCCTACCCACTTTCTATGTCGGTAATCTCCTTGAGGGAACTGACTAGGTCTTCTACTATTCTTGTATCTCCCTCCAATATTCATTGAGACCAAATTATTTTATGTATTCAAGCTTTCACAAGCTCCTGTCTAAAAATACACTTCTTCTTTTTTTTTTTTGAGGCAGTAGGGGTTAAGTGACTTGCCCAGGGTCACATAGCTAGTAAGTGTCAAGTGTCTGAGGCCAGATTTAAACTCAGGTCCTCCTGACTCAAGACTGGAGCTCTATCCACTGCACCACCTAGCTGCCCCTAAAAATACACTTCTTGACCAGCAAAGTATAATAGAAAACACAGGAACTGGAGTCAGGAAACTTGTATTTGAATTCAGCTTCTGACACCTCCTTGGTTGCATGACCTTGTGCATATCTCTTTACCTGACCTTCTGGTTCTTTCATCTATAAAATGAGAATAATAGTATTTAACCCTACTATCTACTTCCTGGGGTCACGGTGAGGAAAATAATTTGTAAAATCTAAGGTGCTATAGGATGAGAAATGCCATCACCTGCTTCATCTCAAGCTCTCCCACCCCCTTATTTCTACCATAAACTTACCCGGTTGGCTGTCACAGCCAAATTCTGAAGGTTCTGTAGCAGTCCGACATCAGCAGGAATAAAGGTCAAATTGTTGTGACTGAGATCCAGGTAGCGTAGCTTGCGGCAGTAGAAGAGCTGGGTAGGGATCTTCTCTATCTTGTTGCGGTTCAGGTAGAGACGCTCCAGGTTGGTAAGGTTCCCGATTTGGATGGGGATGTAGGCAATTTGGTTGTACCACAGCTTAAGGCAGGTGAGGCGATGCAGGTGCTGGAAACTGATGATCTCTTCTATGGTCTTGAGGTTGTTGTCCTTCAGATCGATCTCCTGCAGGTTATGGAGACTGAAGATGGAGTGGGGGATGCGCTCCAAGTCACAGCGGATCAGTTCCAGCTCTGTCAGGTTCACCATCTTCTTCAGGCTGTTGAGGACAATGAGCTTGGTCCCTTCATTGTTGATGGACAGCTTCTGGAGGTGGACCCCCACATCTGTGACCACCTGCGGCAGCTTGGTCAGGTTGCTCTTGAGCCGCAGGACCTTGAGCCGCTTCAGCTCCCGCAGACCGTCGATCACAATATAACGGTTGTTCTCCGCACTCAGGTTACCAGTCAGGTGGAGCTCTTCTAAGGTCTTTAAACTATAGATCCACAGAGGGATCTCTTTGATGTCAGTGAACTTGATGTGCAAGGCCTTGAGGTTCTCCCTCAGGAAGGCCAGGGCAGGGGCCTCAATCTTGGCTGCTGTGTGGTACAGCCAAAGCTCCTTGAGGCTGGTGAGCTGGGCGATGCTGGGAGGGATGGTTACATCAGGGATGAGCTCCAGCTTGAGCACCTCCAGCTCAATGAGATCAAAGACTGTGTCCGGAATCCCACTTAGCATGAAGAGGTGCAACTCCAGCTTATCCTGGGAGTTCTTAGTGATCCGCTGTCTCAGCTTCTCCAATGTCCACTCATTGTTGAGGTTCAGCTGCCGTAACTTATTTTCACTCACCTCTGAGAGGAAGACAGCAAAGCGCTTGGAATAAAGAGGGTCATACTGGTCAATAAGGTGCAACATGAAGGCAAAGTCATTCTTCACATCAGGGATGTCGCTGTAACTGCTCTCCTCCCGGATGGACTCAAATGAGTACTTCTTGAGGGAGCGCCGGAGCATCCACCATAGTGTATACATGCATATCAAGCCATAGAAGATCACCAGACTAATATAGAAAGAGGCCAGGATCTTGAAGAGAGTGGCTAGAGGGTGGGCACAGCGGTACGTGCGGTAGCCCGTTAGGCTCTGAATGTCTACGGTACAGTCAACATCAAATTTGATGTTGTTGACATAGTACACCGTGTAGCTAATGATCAGTATAAACTTGATCACCTTGATGATTGTCTGCCGCATGTAGAGGCGGTAGACAATGTCCCCTTCCTCCACGTGAGTCCGAAATTTCTTCACTTTCTCAAAGAGAGCTTTAGCCTGCTCCCCTTCCTTCTTGTCTAATACTCCCGTCTCTGACCGGTCCACAATGCCTTGCTCAATTCTTGACTTGCTCCGCTGTAACATGGGCACAGTAGCCTCCACGTCTTCACTCACAGTTGATGACTTCTTGTCCATAGAGCCATTCATCTTGCTAAAGGCTGGCTTAGGGTCACTCTCCTCCACCACTGTCTCTGAGAGTGCCCGGGTAGTCCAAGGTGAATCAAAACATTTAAGCAGGATAGAGACAAAGTGCTCCAGTTTGGAGCTGGTCCGGGGAAACTTGAACCAGAAGTTACTGCAGGCCAAGAAGATAAGTGTATGGAGCAGCACCAAATAGGGGAAATACTTGGCGAACCAGTGGAGCCGGTTCTCATAGCATACCGCATCTACATAGTTGTACTGATGCCGATCGAGGTCATACTTGATTCCTTTGGGCCCTGGGTCTGGAGATGTAAGGATTGTAGAGTTGTAATAGGTGGAATCCGGGGCAGGAGTAGACCAACCTTGAAAGGAATCATTGCAGGAGTCTTTAGTAACCCATTTACAAGGGAGACAGATCATCTTGTCCTGGGTGACCTGAAGGGTCCCCCCAAATACTGCAATCATCAGCATGACAATGGATATGTAATCTGTGAAGACATCCCACCATGGCTTCAGAATTCGGTAAGCTGGCTGAGTATCAGCAAAGTACCGGAGCTCAGTGACAGGAATCATGGTTTAAACCTGAAAGGAATCCACAGGCAGGTATTATTGGCAAAGGGCAGCCTGGTTTCCCCCAGAAGTGTTATTAGCAAATGGTCTAGGACTAAGTTAGAGTGAGACAACAGACCAATTGTTTTAAATTCTACTTTAAGTCTAAATAAGAATCACATCTTTATCATTTAAATAACATTTCTCTTAGAGGAACTTAAAGACTTGCTAGGGAAACCAAAAAGACAAAAGACCTTTACCCCATTTACAGAGGAGAAAACAAGAATGAGAAGTTAGGTGATTTGTCTGTGAACACACAGTAAAAATCAGAGGCAGAGACAAAAATTACACCTGGTTTCCCAATTTGTAATGGGAGATTCTATCCACGAGGGCTTTTAATCATTAGGCCACAACTAACAAATGAACTTCCTTTGGTTCTATTTCCTCTTCATATTAAGAATAATTTTTCTGTGTCAACCAAAAGGATCCAGATGTCACTTTTAACAAAAGATTCTCTCAGATACATAACACTTACTAGCTGTGTGACCCTGGGCAAGTCACTTAACCCCATTGCCTAACTGCCCCCCAAAAAAATTAAAAAAAAAAAAACAAAACAAAAAACAAGAAAGGAAAATCCAAAAGATTCTGTCCAACCTGAATCTTGCTTTCTACTAACTCAAAAAAAGAGAAAATGAATTAAACATTCAAATGATTAGGAGTAACACCAGAAGAACATCTAGTCTATTTCCTTATCTCTAAGTACTCTTCTCCTAGATAACCCAAGAAGAATGTTTAATATACCTTCATTTCGTTCCAAGAGATCTGTTTCAAGACAACCAACACTTTTAGGTGAGAGGAAAATGTCTAGGTAATTTGAATTTGGCCACTCTAACAAAAATAACAACAACAAAATAATCTTTATTCAAACATCACCTTCCTTCAAGCTGTCCTAAGTATTTCATATCTTCAACACACCTACGATAGGCTAAGATGACTGTGAAGGACAAGGGTGAAAAAAGAGAGGAACTCAGGTTACACAGACAGGAACTGAGGCAGTTGATCAAGGTGCCGTTAGCCAAGATGGCAGAAAAAAACAGATGCCAGAAGCCTTGATTCTCGAGGCTACCAAAGCCAAGATCACAGGTTTCCAGGCGCCAGGTCGTGGCAAGGCTAGCATACACCACCCCCCTGACCTGGTGGCTTCTAGAGCTGGATGTCTACCCTGTCCTTGGAGGGCTTAATTAAGTCATAAGCAGAGTGAATGAAGGCTAAGTCATTCCAGGAAAAGGACTAGAGGAGAGAGTCACCCAGGAATGGCTTTGTGAATCCACAGGATGGTAGCAAGATCTCTAATAACAGGGATGGGCTTCCTTGAGCTACCTACACTGTGGGGAAACCAGCCCTTCTACAACTTGCTGAATCATTCGGCCCCACCTTCCACTAAAAGGCAAAGATCCCACTCTTACTCTTGACCCGTAACTCCCACAGCCTCCATCTAAAACAATATCTAGAATTTAAACACGTGCCAGGAAGAGTCACTCATGAAGTCCATAGTGCAGAGAACACAGATAATAGGAGTTGCCAGCATGCTCTAAGTCACCTGAAAAGTCCTAAAACCAGAGATTTGAGTAACATGAGCCAGCTACCCTGACGTTCAAGCAGGTCTCCTCCCTGACTCTCTCAGACAGGGCGCCAACATTGAAGGTGGGGTGGGTGTCCCTGGGAAGGATGTGGTTACAATTGCTCAGCCTTCTTAAAGAAGGTTGGGGGATGGGGAAAGAAGGTATGAAATAGAAAAAGAGGGACTAGGTCTAAGCTAAATTCAAGTTTCTAATGAAGAAACTGGTTCCCTTCTTCAGCTCTCAGGTACTTTATCCTTATTTAATGGATGGATGAAGATCATAAAATCCAAGAAATAACCCAAAGTTCTTTTGTTTTGCGGTGATGTATCCAGAAAAGTACAACGAGAGAGCAATAATTTTGGTGGACTCAGTCAAGAAAATTAATCTAATGGAGCAAAGTCTCTCCATGGATATTTGGGAGCAGCTCTCTCTGCTCAGTTCATCAGGGGGGATAGACCTGGTTTGATTATTATGTCAAGTCATCCTGGGTAGTTTCCTTAAAGGAGGATAGGAAATCTGACATCAGGACAAGCTAGGAAGCTTGGTTACAGCACAAATTTGAGGGAGGACAGTTCAATCCTCCTGGCTACTGTTGTTAACATCAGTGAGAGAAGCAACTTTGGATGGGCTCACTTAAATTAGCAACATGAACTGAGCAAACTGGTAAAGGAGAAACATTGCTCTCAATAAAGTCAAGAGGGCAAAATCCAACAGGTTTTCTTCTCGTATCCCTCCCTTGGCTAGAACATGGAAGGAAAGAGATTAAGGTTCAAAGGATAACTGTCCATCTCTTTCAAATGCCTGCCTCTTTTGGATGCATCAAGTATACATGGGATGCCCTCAGTCAGGCTGTCGGATTCCTCCTTATACAACACAATATCTTTAAGAAGCTATTCTCACAATTAAAAAAATATAATTTAATAATAATAATAATAATAATAATAATAATGGAGCTAGAAAGGACATTAGAGGCTACTAATTATCATATATAATTAATAATAATTATTACAATAGCTATAAAAGCCCTATTCTAATGCCTCATAATGGCCTGGAGTTAACCTAGGGCACTCAAAAAGTTACTATAGAACATATGCTCTAGCAGAATCTGCCAAGCTGGAAAGGCTTTGAATTTGGGCTTGGAGCACAGAGGACCAGCCTAGCTAAGTACAGAGAAGCCCCAAGGTGACAAAATCTTTGGCCTTGACCACTCATAAAATGAAGAAAAAAACAAAATGGCCCTCAATCATGAGAAGTGCCTTTCTACTTCCTGACAGTGTGGAATAGTGAATAAGGAGGCAAAGGACAGGGTAAGAATTATGTGGTTTTTAGATTAGAGATAAACACAAACTTAACTGATGGTACTCTAAATATGAGATCCTTGTTCAAAGATCGCAGGAAAAATATTAGAGAAACCAAACTGTATAAATATTAATATTCTCTTCATAAAAAAAAAAAAAGAAGATAGAAGTTTGTAGCTAAATGAAGGATGACTCACAGGTTTTCTGATGACCAATTAACAAGCATTTTAGGTGTCAGGTGCTATAGACAGCTTGTCCTCAAAGAACCTAATATTCTATTACAGGCATACAATATATTCACAAATGAGTAAATATAACATATGTACAAAGTGAATACACAATGAATGACTAGGGGAAGAGATATGAACTAACAACTGAGGAAATGGAGAAAGGCCTCTTGAAGGAGGTGGTACCTCGGATAAGCTTGGTTCCAGAAGTCTGAAGTGAAGAGGGAGGGCAATACAAACATGGTGGGTGGTAGGGAGAGGCCAGCCTGTACAAAGAAAGGCGTGGATGCAGGAGATGCAATACTATGGTAGGAAAACAGCAAGCAGGTTAGTTTGGCTGGACCCTAGACCGCATGGTGGCGGGTAATGTGTAATCAGCCTATCAGAAGATAGGTTGAAGCCAGATTGGGAAGGGCTTTAAATTCCAAATAGAGGCATTTGTATTCTATTCCAAAGGGAGCCTCTGATGCTTCTTAAGCTCGAGGACTATCACTTTAGCATCCATGTGGAAGAAATACTGGAGAGTAGCAAGAGCCATTAGGAAGCTCTTGCCAATACTCCATGAAAAGCAGGAATGAGGACCCAGACTAGTTGGGTATAGTAATAGTGATGCCAAAAAAAGAAAAGTGAATCAATAAAATAATAATAAAACACATAGAAGAAAGTTCAGAGACACAGAGAAGCAGGACAGCGTTAGGATTACTGTGCTAAATCTATTATATATCTAAAAAACAAATAAACTGCAAAGCCCAAGCTGTACATAATAGAAACTTAGAGCTTTACATATAAAGGTATGGCTTTATATATAAACCATGACTGGGTGACTTCCTCTAGCAGTGTTTAGCAGTGTGTAAGCAGAAGCAGAAAAGGAAGATGCTGGTCTAGAAAGGAATGAGCTGCATGCCTTAGGGCAGTGGAACAAGGGATTCCAGGGTCCAAGACAGCATAAAGATTGAACTGAAGCAAAGCCAGGATAGGAATGATAGCATGAAAAAGCAGAATGAGTCTGGAGGTTGGGGTGAGGACAGAGAATGGATTTAGGAGGGGTGAAGCACAGAGAGGGCCGAAAGGACAGGTTGTTGTGGTCAGGCACAGGAATTTCAGAGTTATAGATAGAAGAGGTAGAACAGATGTAGGGGATGATGATGAGATCGAGGGTGTGACTGCCCTATGTGTCTAATGAAGGTGAAGATCATGGGAGCTAATGAGGCTGATGAACTAAAGAATAATATGAATAATGAATACAATGATGAGAAATAAAACACTAAAAGAACTTAATTCAAATTAATGTAATAATCAATCTTCATTCAAGAGGAATAATGGTAAAACAACTTCCTTTCTCTTGATGGAGAAATGGTAGGGTAGTTTTAAAGGGGTACATTACTATTAGACATGGCTTAGGTCTCTGTTTTGCTGAACTGTTTTTCTTTTGTGTAAGGGAAGGTTCTATAGGGAAGAATTATTGGAAAGTGACAACAAAAAGCATTAATTTATTTGATGCAATTCTTAAAAAATGTATTAAAATCTCTATGCTATAGCTCAATCAGTCCTCAGGGAAAAATCATATCGTTACAATCATACATTAACAAAATAAAAAAAGAAGTTAAAAAACTGAACGTGCATTTAAAAAAATTAAGAGAATCAACAAATAAATAAACCTAAAATAAGCACAAAAGAGTAGTTATTTTAAAAAATTACAGGGGAAATAGCTAAATTGCAAATGAAAAACCCCTAGAAATGATAAATAAAACTAAAAGCTGATTTAAAAAAAGATTAATGAAATTGACAAATCTTTAGCTAAGTGAATAGAAAGAAGCGAGCACAAAATCAATAAAATAGCAAATGGCCAAGGTGAAATCACAGCAAAGCCAGAAGAAACATATTAT